AGTACTTATGGCCATTTTTGTATATAAAAGCCTATCCAAAATAGACCAATAGGTTGCCCAAGATAATCAGAGTCCAATTTTAGTTTGATGTCTGATCTACAGTGATAAATAGTTCACTCAGATAATTTTAATTTTTAAATGCTGAGAAAAATTCAGAGTAGATTTTTCAGAGAAAATACATGGACTGGGTAAATTTTTAAAATATGACTTTAATCAAATCAGCGTCGGTACATAGTGACCTGTACAGTAATATGTGACAGACATTAAGAAATTAATAAAATACTTTAGGGACTACTTTAAAACTCAGGGGATCCATACTGAAATAGATACTGGAAGTTTCTGACACCTGAAGTTTTCTTTGTTCAATTCCTGATTTCCTGTACTTTAGAATGATGTGGCTAATCTACAGCAACTGAGAATCTAAGAATCCATTACAGAGCCATTGTATTTCCTTTTCCTTAGGCTTTTTGGACATGATATGTGAGTTGTTTTTGGCAAACTGCTGATCTACTGCAATTTCCAGGATCAACATCAGAAGAATCTTGAAGGCATATCAAAAAGATATTCAACTGCAAACTGGCTCTGAGACCTTTTCATTGGTGTAGCAGAAACTGACACAGCAATAGGAAAGACCAGCCTACTGCACCCTCCTGCTCCCATCTCACATGTACATTGCAAAGTGCGTTGTGAATCTTGGGATTTTTTTAATATTTATTTAGATGTAGAATGACACACAATATCTTTATTTATTTTTATGTGGTGCTGAGGATCAAACCCAGTGCCTCACACATGCAAGGCAAGCACTTTAATGAGCTACAGCCCCAGCCCATATCTTGGGATCTTTCTAGGATTTAATTTAACTGAATCTTGCTTGATAGTATGCTATGTGACTATCCTTACAACCAGTGTCAGGGAACACTGAAGAAACCTTGGATATTATCTATATTGGGTAGTGTGGGATGCCTGGGAACCCCACTTCGACTCACTGTTGAACAGTGACCAAGGCACTGAAACCTTTAAATACCTTGATGTGCTAGAAATAAACTCATTGTTTCATCATGAGCCTTCAATGATACATCATCCTGAGCAGTGTTTTAAGACAAACTCTTTGGTCTTGCCAAAAGATGGACTCAACATGTTTTCCTCTAGTGATTAAGTAAAGTAAGTTGCTATATTCTTTGTTGAATGAGTTGAAACAGTCAGTCCAACAGGTTAAGCTTAACAGCTTTGGAGCAAGGAAGGTGTGTGTTTGAATCCTGGTTCCAGCACTTGATAGTTACTTGATCTAGGACAAGTAACTATTGATTGCCTCATAAAGTTGTTTATATTATTAAATTAGATCACATCTATAAAGTGATTAGCATATAATGAATGTTTAATTGACAGCTTAAGGCAACCAAAAAACCTAATTGAATACAGATTGGCAATTATCAGAATAAGCATCCTATAAAAGAGGTTTTAAGTGTTAAGGGTTCATTTACACCTTTGTAAAGATCACTCTGAAAATGATCAACTTTTGTTAAATTAATTGACACAACAGAGTCTGGTATTATGCTTTTACAAGTGAATACTTTCAATGTCTGAAGTTAAGCATGTGGAACATATGTTCTAGAATACATGATAAGAATATTCTTTGATTACTCTTCACAACAAATATTTTCTTTATATAGTTGTTTCTAACACATGACTTAATATTTTCTTGGACATATTTGTTCTTGTGTAGAGATGAAGCTACTGGATTAGGCAGTGTTTATGGTGTTGGTAGTGGATTCTCGGAAATATAAATAGATCATCTCATTAAGTCTTCTGATCAAGGTTGTCTATTTGTCAAATAACTATCTTAATAGAAAGGGTTGCTATATAAGTAGTATGATACCTGGTACAAAGATCCAGGAGTAATTGTCTACCCTTGAGTTAATTACTTCAGAACTTAAACCAACTAAGCAAAATGGCAAATGCTGCTTATGCAGACAATCTACCAATATTTAGTGGCTTCTAAGCACTGAGATACCAAAGATAATATAAACCAAATCCTTGCTTCTAGTGAAGGCTACAGAGAATATTCTAGAGTACTATGGTACTACTATATTATATGTTATATAGACACTAGTCATAGGAAAATCTCAATTTTCTTCTGATCACTACAGGCTTCTAAAGAATACACCTATGGGTGGCACAATTAAAATACTCAGATTACTCCAAAACAAAATAGTGGCAATTATAAAGCTGAGCCACTATTGTCACTCTTGGTTGTTAACAAGAGTGTGTGATATTTATAAAAACTTCTGAAGGTGGCCTTTCCACATGGCTGGTTGGTTGGTTTGTACCGGGGATAAACCCAGGGGCACTTGACCTGAGACACATCCCCAGCCCTTTTTTGTAACTATTTAGAGATAGGGTCTCCCTAAGTTGTTTAAGGACTTGCTAAGTTGCTGAGGCTGGCTTTGAACTCCAGATCCTCGCTCTCAGCCTCCTAAACCACTGGGATTACAGGCATGTGCCGCTGTGCTTGGCCACATGGCTGCCTTTTAACCTGTGCTGCTGTTTAAGCAGCATCCTGACCCTGCTCATGAGCAAAGACTRCTCATACTCCAGCAAAAAGAACTTTCTCTGGCTCCAGCTTGAATCTATACCCTTATGTGCTGCAATTTGAGCTTTACCTTACCTTGCAAGACCACATGTTATTCAACAGTATTCCATTTGATAGATGTCCCTGAAACAATGTGCAMTCAGTCCTAGAATGTATAAATTTCATTCTTTGGGCAAACTGGTTGGCATACTGAGTGACTCCAGGCACACCAGTGTATCTTGGTCTATTTGAGGACTTCTTCCATCACTGAAGAAGTTAGAGTAGGGGACTGGATGGAAATTCATGTGGTCAGGGGCAATGTCTTAAAGGAGATGGACCTTCCTGGGGCAGCTAAGATCTAAACTTGTAGCTGCAATGATGAGAGCTATTCCAGGTGATTATTTCATTCTATAGCATAARGAGTTTTCTCTTAAAATTTTCCAAGGGTCTTTTCAACTTTGTTTCTTCATTTTTTTTTTTTTTTGGCACCTGGATTGAACTCAGGGGCACTTGGCCACTGTCACATCCCCAGCCCTATTTTGTTTTATTTAGAGACAGGGTCTTACTGAGTTACTCTGTGCCTCGCTATTGCTGAGGCTGACTTTGAACTCTTTTTTTTTTTTTTTTTTAAAGAGAGAGAATTTTAATATTTATTTTTTAGTTTTCGGCGGACACAACATCTTTGTTTGTATGTGGTGCTGAAGATTGAACCCAGGCCAAGCGCAGGCCAGGCGAGCGCGCTACCGCTTGAGCCACACATCCCCAGCCCCAACTTTAAACTCTTGATCCTCCTGCCTCAGCCTCCCGAGCCACCACACCCAGCTTTTACTTCATTTTTTTGAAGTGGAGTACAATCTTCATGAAATTTATCCAAATGCATCCTATTTATCTAGAGTAGCAGGCCGAGTTTCTATGATGTTAGATCATTAAGGATATGAAGGCACCCTTCTTTTATCTATTTAAGGTACAATAGTTTAGGACTCCCACCTGCTATTGGGCCCACAATAATTTAATCCTATTCTTCTAATGATGATATCTGGCTTTTCCTTATATCAAGAGAATCCTAGTCAGAATATGGAATTTCCTTGACACTTTTCAGTACTARCCACACCTAAATCTTTCTCAGTATTTGGCTGTTATTTTTTCTCCTGGGTAAGTTGTTTTCACGTTGCTTAAACAAAATACCTGAGGCTGGGTACTTTATAAATGATTTATTTGTCTCATGATCTGGTGGATGGAGGGTCCAAACAGCAGTGTGCCAGCATCCTGGTGAGGGCCCCCTTGTCTGTGTCACAACGTGGTGGATATTTGTAAAGAGAAATAGCCTCATGCAGAAGGGGCCAAGGTATGTGTTGGCTCCTCTATATAAAAATATGCTATGGTGATAACTCCTGTGAGACTCAACCATCCTGCAAGACAAGCATTGATCCATATCAGAATGGAACCCTTATAACCAATTACCTTCCATAAGGACCCACCTCAAGTCCTACCACCTCAGCATTGCCACACTGGGGACCTAGCTTCCCGCCCATCAAATTTGGGGGACAAACCATACCAAGCTGTAAACTTCCCTTGTTTTGACACCATATTCTTGCTTCTCCATCTGATCATTCCTTTTCTGGATGCTTCGCCTCTGTTCTTTGAAAGTGTTCTCCAGGGCACAAACTTCGGCCCTCAAGCCTTCTGACCCCATCACATTCACACTGCAAAGCCTCCTAGGATTCTTAGGACAGCCAAATACCTYATTTGAGGTAAGCATGCCCCTAATGGACACTCAGTAGCTTTGCGACAGTACTCGGCCTTGGACGAATAATATCAACTCACAGGTACAAATAACGGAGAGAACTTTCTTAGGAAAACTTCCAGCTACTTTATTTGCCCTGAGGTAGGAAGTAACAGGAAGAACCTGTCAGGAGTCTTAACATTCCAATTTTTTTGTTTTGTTCTGATTTAGGAGCACTTGCCTTGAAAAGCAACTCCTGAGCTTGTTTTCTGAGACTTCATTGTTTATCCGAATCCATTTTCGACGGGGAGCTCCCAAGTGTGCTGGACTACAGCGACCCGGTTCACCGAGCCGCCCTCAGCACCCGCCCCGGGCGGCACGTTAGCTGTGTGGGTTGGGGAAGGCTGGGGGAGGGCGAGAAGAGTGCAAAGTGCGACGGRGCGTCCCACTAGAGGGTGAGAGGAAGGAAACGGGTCACGGCTGGCTCCGCCGAGAGATCCCGCACCCAGGAAAACTACACTTTGAAGAGCGGACGCGCGCCACGAGCTTAAGGGTTTTCCCCTTGCCTTTTCCCTGGGTTCCCAGGAGGAAAACAACCCGAGCACACGCCCGGTCCAAAGGGCGGGGCTTCTGTGAYGTAATGAGCGGGCCCGCGCAGCCGCAGTGTGTTGGCCGCGCTCCTTACGACACAGAAGCCACGCCCCTTACGGGAGCTGCGGGAACGCGCCTGGCTCTGTCACGCAGTCGCGTTCGCGCGGTGTAGGTGGTGCTAGAGGCCGCCTAGGGGGTTGTAGGGTGACGGCGCTGCCGCCATTTTGTAGGGTGTTTGTCGCAGCGGCTGGAGAGGAACGACGGCGGTTTGGCGACATTTTTCGGCCAAAGGGCCTTTTGCTTTCGCAGAGGTGAGGTTTCGGGTGTGATGTGCTGGGCTAGGCTACTGTCGAATCTTATTTTAGGTCTCGGAGCCAGGTGTTCGAGAAACGACCGGTTCCTGGCCTTGGCCTCTGGGGACTGAGTTGGCGGTTCCTGCGGGTTGCCGCTCCGTTGGTGGCCTTAAAAACCTGAAGGTGCTCTGGCGTCGCTTTCCTGCCAGAGGCTCTAAATTAGCCCCACTGTGTTGGCCGAAGAGCTCGGACTCTATTATAGACACTGCCAGGGCCGCGAGTGCTAGGTCTGTCCGCGAGTGCGAGGTCGTGTCCGGAGATCCTGCGAGGGGCCTGTCGCTGGTGTTTGTGTAGTCGGAGATCGATTCCCCCGTCCCCAGATGTCTGACCTCCACCGTTTGTAGCGTTGGGGGGCTTTCCCCTAGTCCAGTGTTTGCCCCTGTTTGTACGCCAAAGCCTCTGGCCAGGTGCCCGGGGCGGAGAGTGGGTGGGGATTGGGTGAATCCAGGTGGTGGGATTCACCTAGTGCAGGTAAGAGGTTGAAACGTGGGGAGATTCGTCCTTTGTGCAATACTGCCCCCCCCCCCCCCGCGGTGGAGCATACCATTGTGGAGAGAATGAGCCTTTCTGGTAGTTCTGCAGCGTGTTATCTCTGGTGAAGTAGCCAACCTCCAGACTACCGGCCATTCACCTGTATAGATGGTTCTCCAAACAGGCACCTCCAGGGTTTTTGTTTGTTTGTTTGTTTGTTTTTGCCTATTTGAAAATGCCCTCGAATCATAACTTGTAAACCCCCCCCCCTTTTTTAAGGTTTTAAACTGTGTTCATACCATAAAGTTGTCAAGTATTTTTTAAGATCTTTTAAAAAGGTGATGGAGAATCAGATTTCTAATACTGAAGATATATCCATTGTTTCGGGTGTTTTTATTAAAACCTCAGTCACCTGATGATTCTAGCACGTAGGATTTTTTCTTTTTTTTTTAACTAATTAGAGGCAGCATGGTAATTTTAGGTAGCTTTGCTTTTCTCTATATGTGAAGGAACCTTACAGAAGGGGTAGGTCCAAGAAGCTTCTCTTTGCCTCTTGAAAAAATATTTCTAAAATTTGCTGGGGACCAAAGTGGGTGTTTACGGGGCTGGGACCAACAGCTGAATTAAATTTAAAATAGTGAACCCGACTAGAAAAATATTGGGTTCGTCCAAGGAACTCAATCTTAATATTACATATTAATAAGTTTGATAATTTGATAACTTTGTTTTTTAGAGGAGATGATTTAGCAGACTCATGGTAGGTAGGGAAAAAACAAACTAAAGCAAACACAGATGTGTTGCAAAACCTTCATAATGGATGGTCATGATAATTACCCTTAGTCATCAGAAGCTGAAATTTTGCTTGCTATTATTTTAAGAATGTTTAGGGGGGTTGGTCACCAGGATGAGGATCCAAAGAGGTCCCTCAAAAAGGAGGTGAACTTTAATTCTGGCTGTGASGGTCCTTTGATGTATGCTCTCAAAAAGGAATTTATGTTCTAAAGTGAGGCACATGATTGAATTTATTGAGTGAAAGAAAGATGTACGCAGGGTGGAGTGTGGGTGTTGAAGAGAGGATATTGCTAGCATGTAAGATCAGTAGTACAGGGACATGAGCTAAGAGATTGTTTTCAGTTCTCCTTTGTGTATGTAACCGGACATGTTGATCATTCCTAGGATGTTGGTCATTTATAGGTATGTTGATCATTATTCAAAGGGTAGTATTTTCTTTCTTTGTTTTTAGTGCGTTTTGCTTTGTGAACACAGTACTTCATTTTGTATCTGTGGTTAAGGTCTAATAATTGTTGTAATGGTGTTCTTTGTGACCTTTAAACCTGAAGTTTTAATCCATGTCAAAGTGGACTTTAATCATGGCCACTTTGTGGTGTTCTGCATGCCTCTTTTCTGCCTCTTTAGTGTCTTCTGTCCTAACTCGAGGGTTAGAGGTGCTTGGAAAGGCCCAGGTCCTGGATTCAATCACTAGCATGAGGGTGGGAGAGAGAAAAATGTTTAGCCAAGCTGAGTTGTAAATGTGGTTAAAATACATCTTTGGCAATTGAAGGAACAAGTTAGGAGAATTCTTCTAGAATTAGGGAAAAGAATAAAGTTTATTTATTAGCACTGGAGATGTGACCCAGAGGCAGTTTATCACTGAGCTACATCCTGAGCCCTTTTTTATTTTTTATTTTGAGACAGGATCTAACTAAATTGCTGGAGCTTCTGGGATTACAGTCTTGTGCCACTGTGCCAGCTTAAAAAAATTATTTTTTTAATAATTCTTAAGACTTACTAATTTTCAGTGAGAAGCCAACAATAATTTTAGGATTTTTTATTTGACTTGATCAATATCTTCTCTGTTTGCTTGCTTGTTTAGTTCTGAGAATTGAACCCACGGGCATTTTACCAGTGAGCTATATCTCCAGCCTGTTTCATTTTTTTATTTTTGAGACAGGTCTTGCTCAGTTGCTTAGTACTTCACTAAGTTGCTGAGATTGGCCTGGAATTTGTTAGCCTCCTGCTAAGTAGGCTTAAAAGAAGCCTCATGAACCAAAAGATGTATAGAATTAGAATGGGCATAGAATTAGAATCAGCATCAAATTAAAATATCCTAATGTTTGGGCTGAAGGTGGTAGAGTACTTAACTAGCAATTTGGAGGCCCTGGGTTGATCTCAGCATTGCTTTAAAAAAAAAAAAAAAACATGTTTGGTGGCATCAGGCTCTGAAGGCATGATACATAACAGGGAAGACCTCCCAGGAGAATTGAAGCTGCCTCATTTCAAAGCCATTAATCAATTTGAAACATTTTAAAGTTTTACTTGATTTATTTGCTTATTTCTCATTTAGGCAAGCTGAATAAGGTTAACTAAATTATTTGCTCCATTTTAGATTTTTGCCAGCTCCTTTGTTGTGAATTTCTTTTTGCCATTTAAACTTACCCTGTTTAGCAGAGTTTGGACCTTACTGTTAAAAATTTTACGCTTTGAAAAAGCATTAAGTTTGAAAGAGGCAGATTGGTTAAATYGAGCATAGGTTCAGAATCCTGCTATATATTGGAGGTGTAGATTGAGTCTGGGAATTGTGTTACCCTCATAGTCTGATGTTACTGTAACTATGCCTCATTGTGTATCCCCATTAGTTTGGTTTCTTTTTCAGGATTACTCCAGATTTATAACAAATAGATTTTTATTTTAAGAAAAACTACAAATGATTTGCAAATAAACTTCTTACTAGAGAAAATGGATTTATAATAATCACCTTTTGGTTTTTCAGTTTCTCTGTTGAATATTGTGTTCTTTCACTTCTATTTTCTCTTTCTGTGTGTGTGCAAGGGGTGCTGGGGATCAAACCTAGGGCCTTGATAATGCTGGGCAAACACTGACCTATACCCCAGCCCCTCCTTTGTTATTTTCAAACCTTGGAGTCATTYTAAGATTTAGAAAAAGAAGTTTGAGAAAAAAGCTTAATTAATGAAAAGCTCTTTACCTTCAAATTGAAGTTACTTCCCATATTTAATATCCGTTTCTTACGTTGATTATTTGTATTATACGTTAACCAAGCTGCATGACACTTGTGATTTTATTTAATGTTAAATCAGCTCATGTTTTAATGTTAACATTTTTTAAAGAAATTTATTTCTAATTAGAAAATTAGCATAAATGACAGTGGCAATAAATTAAGACAAAAAAATTATTGATTTCAAATTAAATACTGTTGTCTACTAAAGCCTTAAGCCTGAACCTTTCAAAAATTTGAAGATTAAAGTTTTTTGCCAGATAGGGTGGTACATGCCTATGATAGCAGCTACTCCAGAGGCTGAAGCAGGAGGATCCCAAGTTCAAGGCAGTCTGGGCAACTTAGACCCTGTCTCAAAATAAAAACAAGAAAAAAAGACTAGGAATGTAGCTCAGTGGTAAAAGTGCCCCCATGTTCAATTCCTAGTACTGCCTCCCCTCTGCCCACAAAATTTTTTTCTTTCATTCTTTTTTGTTTGAAGACAAGAACCAAGCTGAGAATTTGTCCTGGTTATATTCAGAAGAATTGAAAGACGGTGTATTAAAAGTCTCACCATGTTATCCATTATTTAGTACTAGATCTATGCCCCTCAGTAGTTGTCAGATGTACCAGTGGTARAGTACTGTATGCCTTGGGAAACATACCTAAAAATATTCTACAGCCTTTATGACCCTACATGCCATATTTAAATAATATTAATGTATAATGTTTCTATTAATAATGTTTCATTTATTAAATCCGTCTCCATAGCTCTCTATAACCTCCACAACTCACTTTTTCTTTTTTTGGTTAACAGATGCGACATTCCAAACGAACACACTGCCCTGATTGGGATAGCAGAGAAAGCTGGGGTCATGAAAGCTACAGTGGAAGTCACAAACGGAAGAGGAGATCTCACAGTAGTACACAAGAGAACAGGCATTGTAAACCGCATCACCAGTTTAAAGAATCTGATTGGTAAATTACTCTCTACTTAGTAACATTTTAGTCCTAATAGTTTTAATGATTTCTTATTTGTTTATATAGCTTGTATCAAGTGATTGTAGAATGCAATCAACATTTATTCATTAAAAAAACTCTTATCCATTACTGTTATAGGCTGGCTTCTGTAGTTGCAAAGGCTGTAGCTGCAATAAAACAGTTTCTATCATATATCTGTGTCTGTCTGGGGGTATTGAGACAGTTGATCTGCAAGTGAATAAGAAATATATTCAGGGGATGGGGATGTAGATCATTTTTAGAGGACTCGCCTAGCATGTGTGAGTTTGATCCCCACTACCACAGGAAAAAGTAAACAAGCAGGCAGAAAAATATAGTCAGTAGCATGTTGATTTCTAGCTGCCAGTAACATAGTTGGGGAGTTGAGACACACATAAAGTTCAGTAAAGGTAATGAAAGAATGTCCATTGAGTGCTTTTAACCTGTGTGTAGGAGGGTGGTA